ATACAAGCATACATTTACGAGAGTTTGCATGTGTTTTATACAGCTTACAATGATAAGCTAATTGTTGCTAACTACACTAACAATATCAAGTATCAAACTAACAACCTTACTGCTAACTAACATCAAGAACTCATCCAGCTTCAACCACCCGAGCACACTACAATAACTGCACCTAGTTGTACCTCAGCTATACTTAACACAATATCCATGTCCTCGGTAAACATCACTGAGCTTCGATGTTCCTACAATAATAGTTTTACTTTAAGTGACAAGTAGATGAATAGAGAACTTAAAGCGGAGTAAAGTGGAATTTATCGGTTTCTGCAACTCATAATTATGTCTTTCGCCATTAAAGTCAGGGATGCTGGAATCCATTGTTCCTTGCATGGAATGCTTAACATTTACATTATGTGCAAGATTAATAAAATGGATTTATAACTCTATAGACATATAAAGTAGGATATGGAATAGAGAATTGATAATAATCAACAGATAAAGTGATACCTTCACTTTCAGTTGATGAACAAGATCAACCTTCTATGCCTCAAGTTGTCGAGACAAGCTACTAACTTTCACTACCTTTTCCTTTAGATCTCTTATTTTCGATCACTCTTTCTTTATCTCACAATGAACACCTTCAAAGAAGGGACGGTAAATTATTAATTGACACAAATAAAAACAAGATCCATGTTAACTACCATTATAACAAAGCAAAAGGTGTAGCAAATCAATTAGTTAAAAAATGGAAATGGAACTATTAGCATGCAAATTTTCTATTTGGAAATATGCATTACCTTGAGGTTGATGCTAATTGAATAGATATTTCATAATATGTTTTGCATCGGCAAGAGACCGGACATGATTCCATCGTCTCTTCCATTGAAAATACGTCCACATTCTTCAGCTTCAGGCAGCTGTGAAGCCATAGAGACCAAAGTGTTAGATGTAGCAGCAACATAGTATCAAATTACGGTTACGGATTTGTTGCGAATGCGGTTGCGGTGTCGCGGTTGCGGATGTCGTGGACGTTATGTAACGTGTTGTGGCTGCCGCAGACGTGATATCTTCCTTAAAAATCACAATACGTCTAAAATATTATTTATACATTTTATAGTTATCTTTTAATACACTAATATTAATATACTTTTAATATTTTTTTGAAAATAAAAATTTATTAAAACGAATATAAACCATAGAATTGTTATCATATTGGATAATTAGTAATAACAATTTTAATATTAATGAATAACATATAAACAATATCACTAAAATCATATCAAATTTTTTATATTGTAACATAAAAATGATCATTTTACATAACATAAAAAAGGAAAAAAATGCATAACTACAAATATAAAAATTATATCATACAGTTCACCACCAAAATGAATGGCGTAACGAATCTAAAGCATTTTCATTTTCGTTATTGTCTGGTTTTGATTCCTTTATATTCCATGTGAAGAAGACACATTATGTGCATTATAAGATGCATCATTGGTAAGAAACATGTTGTATGATAAAATTTTAAAGAAAATAGAGTAGATAAAATTTTAGAGTTTCATAGTAAATAGATAAAATACATATATTATTATAGTATTATAAAGTGAATTCCTCTCTTTTACAAAATTTATACAATAATAAATAAACATGTAATAAAAAGACACTTAATGTTAATATAAAAATTTAATTTAAAATTAATCATGTCAATTTTAGATATAAGAAAAATTCAATTTAAATTTAAATTTTAATAAATAATTTAATTAATTCAAACTTAAGTAAGTAATTTTAAACATAACTATTACGATATTATTAATGATATATATTCATAATCCAGTTTTAAGAATTAAATTAGAACAATTCATTTATGTAATTTTATATTTCAGATAATTTAAAGTTTGTGTTCTTATATCCTTCCAATCATCACTTTAATCTTGACTTTTGTAACCAAATCAATTCTTCATTCTTGTACAGGTCCCATAATTATTTTTTCGCTTCCACTAGTGACTTCAAAGGAACCGAAGAATGACCTTGCTGAATAGCCAGATTCATCTCCTGGATTGATTTCTCAAGACTAGAAATTCTTCCAGGTAACTCTAAATGCTTCTTCCCTGACCATTTCTTCACCGCAAGCTTCACTCCTTTGAGCAAATTAGAGATAAGCTTTTTCTTCCCTTCTGTACGAAACTTAAGCAATTCCTCCTTCAACATCTCATTAAACCCTGCCTCCTCCATGACATAGTTAAACATCCTAAATGGTTTATGACCCCAATTCATTTCGCTATTTTCCAGTAATGTCGCATTTGATCGGAGACTAACCTCGGGAGTAGGTTTTGACTAACTTTAGGAAAAAGGGAAAAGAAATCTCTGATCCACCAGAAAACGATCAACTCTTACAAAGGTTGGAACTTCCATGTTGTTACACCATGTGAAACGTTCTCTAGAAAAAGGAAGGTTCACCAGATTCGCCTTGCAAACAAAATCATTGAAAACACCCAAGGAAAAAGAATTCACAGCTCCACTTATTTTCTTTTCCTGCGATAATACCGTGTTAAAGTCTCCGCCCAAACACAAAGGGCAATCAAGTTTCTCCAAAAAGAATAAAAGATCCCCAAAAAACTCCTCCTTTTCTGAATCCACACTCGGATTGTAAACGTTTATGAAACAACAATTACCAGATAAACATTCCAAAATGCCCGTGGTTGCCACAAATCTCCTATGAATGTATTTCGCCTGTGCTACAAACTCGTTCTCATTCTGCATGGAAATTAACCCGCCAGAGGAACCTATTACAGGAGACACTATCGAACCATGCAAAAGTTTCCCCCAATTATTCTTAAAATGAATAACTCACTACTTCAGTTTTTGATTCTTGTAAAAATATAAATGTAGGCCTTTTCTCGTCTGCAAAGCTCCTTACCGCTCTAGTTTAACCCTCCTACCCAAACCCCTAACATTCCAAGACATTAACGACCACTTACCCATTATCAACACTCCAGTACCTTATGGACCTACTCCAATTAACTTCCCCCATACAACTCCCTCTCCTTAGCCAAAAAAACGATTTTGCTCATAAATTCTTTCTTTCCTCCTCTAAACGTGACACTCAATAATTTACTTACATTCTAGCATTCTAACGCCTCTATCTCTCCATTCGACCTATTGGAGATAGACAAGAGGTTCCTTGACCATTGCAACTCTTAACTCCCCCTCCTTGATCTGGAATATACACGATCGTAGAAGCCACTCTCAGCTCTGTCGACAGACGCACACCTACCAGACTGTAGCCGCTGAGACGGTGAAACATGCCCATTCAGATTATCTGGTCGATGCTTTGCAACATTCTTCTCTACTGCAATGTTATCATTTTCTCTTAACAGTCCTAAATTATCATTATCAAGCCCGCACGCAATAGGGCTATCCAGGCTCCTATTGAGCCCATTATCCTGCACAAGAGAAGCATGGCCATACGAGAATCCATCCAAACGCCTCCCACTTTCACTTCCCCCATTAAAATCTCCCGACACAACCTGCTGGATGGGGCCACACCTTCATTAATTGACTCTTCCCTCGACAAGCCTGTGGAAGGAATTAATCTTGAGCCGCCATTATCATTAATACCCTGAGAAATCCCTGTGTTGCCACCTACCCGGGAGCTCCGAATCCAAGCCTCCACCCTATCTTGAGAATTCGACTCTGACTGTTCCGATGAGTCCTCATTCCAGGTATCTACTGACACATCTTCATCCACTACATCGGCTAGTTCAGGAAAGAAATCCTTGCTACATTCAACCTTAATTTTAATCACATACGTTCTCCCGTTCGTTTTAATAGTGATTTGGGATGGAACATCAAAGGGACTCTCGACCCTCAGAAGCAATTGTGCAACTCTACAATCCACCCTTAGGATATTTTCTTTTAATTTAGGGTTTAGGAGTAGCAACATCACTACTACAATCAACATCAATTGCACCAACATTTAAATAAGGAATGTTATCAATTTCCTTTTTTAAAACAGCAGCGCCATGGCACACATGAAACAATGTAAAAGAATTGCTATCAGAGCAGCAGAGTTATATATAAATATGGAGAGTTCACATTCTACAGATCTTACAATCATCCTACAATGAACTTGTGAATAAATATTGCATGTAACATTGTCTTAAAGAGAATATGAGTTATACTATCTAACCCATCCAACCAACATACACAAAAAAAGTGGAAGAAAAATCAACAAAATCCATACCTAATTGCATGTAGAAAAATAAGCTTCTACTGTAAGGAAACAATAAACCAAAACGCAAGCCATCCAAACAGGATTACATGTTTTCATGCTAGTGAAAGAAATGAGCATCAACTTGTTAAATACAACTAAGTCTTATCAAGTATGTTCGACCAAAACAAAGTTAGTAGTACGCCAAATTTTCGGAAGTGGATTACAACGAACAATCAATCTACTAATAGCCATAGCCACCAACTTGGAAACATTGGAGCTCATCGATAAGCCACCTTCACCCAACTGTGAGACCTCAATTTAAATTTGTAAAGATTGAAATCATACATAATCACTACGATTCAGTCATTTCATTATATCGCCTTAATCTTACCAAAAAGGAATGGTGATCATTAACCAGCAGCTTTTTCATAGCCTAATCAAACTTATTTAAAAAATAAAATAATAAATATAAAGTTGAAATTCATTCTTTTGATTTATAGGCGTACCGTGTTCGAGAATTTGGCATTTGAGAGTTCAGGGTTTTCCAAATTAGGGTTTTGACTTTGCTCAAGTATATATCAGTTGCCAATTCCAAATCCCGTCATCTTCCTTCAAGTCGATCACCTCGAGACCGTACTTCACAGGCGCGTAAGACGATTCAAGGTACTACTGGAGGAGGAGTTGGCAACCCGTTGAGTTGGAAATAGAAACTAAACGAGTTAAACGTCGATGAGAGATGCACTCGATCTTCCGATAAACACTGCCCTACTTTCATTGAGCCAATTAGAGTAAAACAACCCAGCTCGAACTCGAGGGAGGAAAAATATTGAAAAACGTGATGGTTTTGGGATTTAATCAATCACGCGAATGTTTGGAGATTGGCCAACACGATTCAGTAAGCTCACATAATTCAGCGTATTTGATTCTAACCTCTGAATGAAAACTGTGTTGAATGATTCAGCAAAACACTACTGAATGATTCGGCATTAAAGTACATTCTTAATGATTCAGAACAATTATCAAACAATATGTCACATTCAGAACTAATTCATACAGAGTCTTTGAATCATTCCGCGCTTAATCATTCTGATTTAATCAAAGAAACCCTAAATATATTTCTCCACGCGTACAGTTTGCTAAAATTATATAGGAGTTTAGTCTAACAGATAAAAGGATTTATATGCAGCTGACCCCTACGAAATTCTACTAAATTTCAAAGTTGCCCACAACTTTCCCTCTTACAATAAAAGGAAAACCTATGAGAACTGTTTGCGAAGGATCATTTCTTACAACTTGAGCAGCCAGATGGGATGTTTGCAGATCTTGATTCTAAGTCTTCAGTTGGTAACTGATAAGTGCCATGGAATTTCATGGCTTGATTGTTGTAAGAAATCTAATTTTACATCATAGCTTGATATGGGCGTTGCACTTCGACAACCGCAACTCGACAACAGCTTCTTTAACGCTTAAACAAAACAATCTAGCTTCTTTCTATGGCAAAAACCACTGCATGATTGGTTCTATCTCAACACTGATGGGGCCACGGGGACTGGGAGGGCGCATGGATAATGGGATTTTCCTGACTTATCGGAGCATCGGATTCGTTGCAAACACTACGCCTAGCTTGGAGAGCTTCTAAAGATTAAATGTGATTGCAAACAAATTGTTCAACTTGAGGAAGACGATGGTGCTACCCGCTCTTGCTGGTGCGTGCTATTTCGAGTCTTCGACGACGTGCATGGGTAAATGAGATCGTTTTAGTCCCTCATCAAAAAAAATGGTTGCTTATAAGATGGCGAAGCTAGTTGATCCTCGTCGTTTCCAGCAGATTAATACGAAAATGTTATAGATAAAACTGAGACATTGAAGGCCCTCCATACCGTATACTCGTTTATGTTTAACTCCTTGGGTTAAATTTCTCTTCAATTAAAGAAAAAAGAGACCTACTTGTGAAAGTAATACATTATTTTCGATAAAATTAGAATCGATATATCAATTATAGCAAGAGTAGGGTGCATAGCACGTGTTGGTGGGAGTGTGTTGCGTTTTTTTTTTTGGTGAATTGTGTAGCGTAATATTTTTGTTCATATATATTTAAAATTTTAAAAATTATCAATTACTACATTTAAAAGTGTAATTGACTATTAACAATTTTTTAAGGATGTTTGTTGTGAAAGTGTTGATTGAGAAGATAATAAAATATATCTGATATTAATATATGAAATGTTTTTCATTTATCAACACATTACAATCTTGCTATCAATTATTTTTAGTTTATAAAATTTATGAAATTGAATATATACTCTCCCCTCAAAACTTTGAACAGCCATTTAAAATCCCTTGAAAAAATTAGAAACCTTTGAGACAATTTATTACGTTTCAACTTTTAAAATTATCTTATTCAAAACAACTCATTAAAAATTCAACAAATAATATTACTTATATTTTAAATTTTACTCTCACTCTTTTATATTTATCAAAATAAATCAGTCAAATTTATCAATCACATTTTAAAGATAATTATATTATTTTCTTTGATTAAATATACCTCCTAAAATTATGTGTATAGAAAAAATAATTTGTTAGGCTGGCGAATCCAACATGTGGATGTCATATGGCATCTCAAAATATTTTGATAATTTTTTAATTTAATATATTTTAAATTTATCACTCAAAATAATTTTTTTCTAAATTTAATACACAAAATAGTTTTTCTAGTCCCATCCGTGAGAGATTATATGATTTCGAAACTCTCTTTTATAAGTCTCGAAAAATTTATGTTATAAAGAATTAAAGATTAATTTTTTTTAAGTGTTTGCTTCAAAAATATCTTCTAAAACGCAGAGGTGCAGAGGAGGATGGATATTTTTTACCATTCAAATTACTTTTTGAGTCCGACGGAGCAAGTAAGAGTTCGACGGAACAAGTAATTTAGTTCTGCGTTACATAATGTCTTATTCTTGTCTTGAAACTCACTATTCACGTGGAAAGACGAAAAACACCCTTTCTTTCCCACTCATAACGTTCTGTAATTGTTTGTAATTTAAAGAAAATGTTGACCCCAATTCGTCTATACGTACTTCAAATTTCTTCCTTTAACAAAAATTAAATTTCGAAATTTACCCTACATAATCGAAGATCCAATCGTTTTCTCGCTCTACAACACACTCTTACGCTCCCCTTTTGGAAAATGGAGGAAAGCGGAAACAGAGCCGAAGCCATTCGTCTTCTAGGAATCGCCGAGAAGCTTCTACAAAGTCGTGATTTTAACGGCTCGAGAGACTTCGCAATCTTAGCCCAAGAGACAGAACCGCTGTTGGACGGTTCCGATCAGATCCTAGCCATTGTCGACGTTATCCTAGCAGCTGAGAAAAGAATAAACAACCGCTAAGATTGGTACTCCGTTTTACAAATCGATGGCCGATCCGACGACAACGATCTCATCAAGAAGCAGTATCGTCGCCTAGCTCTCCTTCTCCACCCGGACAAAAACAAGTTCCCTTTCGCCGATCATGCGTTCAAGCTCGTAGCCGATGCATGGGCCATTTTATCAAACAGTTCGAAAAAATCTGTTTACGACAAAGAATTGAGCTTGTTTACGAGGATTGATTTAAGCGGCGGCGATCGTTCGAATCAATCCGGTAAATTACCGGTCTCGAGAAGAGGACCAAATCAGGATCGCGGACAATATTGGATGCCGAATACGAATGCCCAAAAAGACAATCAGAGGTCGAAAACGTCTACGTTTTGGACAGCTTGCCCGTACTGTTATAGGTTGTTTGAGTATCCTAGGGTTTACGAAGGTTGTTGTTTAAGGTGCCAGAATTGTGAGAAAGCTTTTCACGCTGTTGATATTCCGACATTGCCGCCGTTGGTTCCGGGGAGAGAAGCTTATTATTGTTGCTGGGCGTTTTTTCCGTTAGGGTTTGTGCCTGGAAGTCCGGAAAGTGAAGGAAAAGCCCCCACCGGTTTTCCGAATTGGATGCATCCTACATTTTCCGAAGTGCCGCCGCATCAGGGCGAAAGAAATGGAGGCTATGAGCAAGTTACACCACCTGCAGCAGTGCCGCCGCAGCCTCCTTCGACCACTGCAGTGAAGGTGGTAGAAAATAAAAGTAATGTGGCTGTGGTTTCAGGTGGGAATGTGACCAATTCAGGCCCAAGGAAGAGAGGGAGGCCGAGGAAAATTCCCCTGTGAGGTTTGATCGGTAATGAAATGTGGTTTCTTTTGTAGCTTTTTTGTTTAGACCAAACCTGACCGAAATGCAGGAACGTTCAAGGCGGTGCTGGAGGATATCGGTGAACTGAGAAGGTAGAATAAGGCAGATGCTGTAACATTGGAATGTTTGGAGTTAAATTTGTAGGTATTGCTGTAGTTATTGCTCTGTTTGTAGATTGTTTTTATGTACTGGCTAGCACATAGGTGATCATTGTAACACCGGTATATTCAGCAATGTCAAGTCAGCTAGCTCTTTCACCATTGATTATGAGCAATTTTATTTATCGGCGTTTCACGAACGTGGACATGAACTTTTGCTTGCAATTGAGAAATTTGAGATGTTTTAGAACATTACCGCAATTGTTTTCATGAACAAAGTACTTGTTCTTTGTGTGTGTTTCATATTGAAAATTGAAACATTAGTTCATTTCATGTTTCATGGATTACATGATAATTGATGGATTGGTGCATCTTGAATGATTCAGATGACTCACTGCTAACGTATGTTAATGACGATGCAAGTGGTTTCAGTTGATTTTAGGCCTTTCGCAACTAAAACCCGAGTTTTGCTTGCCTGGTAGCCAATCTGATTGCAGTTTTCTTTATGTTAAGGGCTTGTTCGTTATCGGAACACTTTGTAATTTAATGCCTTGACCTAGCGATGAGAGATTGTTCCCAAGCCACTTGGTACATTTGCCCTAAAACCTTGAAAATGTGCTGCAAATTAAGTAGCAGATAATGATCAACAATTACCGATAAGCTCTAATCCTCTATTACCTAGGATTATTACGTGCTAGTCGGTAATTGTTGATTCATCTTTCGGAAAACAGTTCTCTTACTTCGGACAATGCATACCATATGATGCAATTTTTGTACAAGTTTTTTCTGATATCTTCAACACAACTGCAGGCATACACAAACACACGCACACATATAAACTTGGCTTGAAGAAACATTGCCTTGAACTTATAAGAAGCTGCCATGTTAGAGGGGGAGACCGACTTTGAGCAACTTGCAAGTTTCCTAGAGCTATGAAGTTTTATTAGTCAAATGCATTAAGCTCCGTTTTGATCTGCATAAGTTCTTTAACATTTTAAAAAGAAAAGACCTTACTCAAGGCTTTAGATGGCCATTGCTTCGCACCGAATTATATAAAGAGAAGTTGATGCCTTAGCGTGCCTTTTTTTTGTTCTTTGAATCTTCATAATGTCGTTACTCGACTTTAGACTCGCAAGGGAACTGAACTTTGCTTCTTAAACCTTTCATTATATTCACAGGATTACCATATTCAAAAATGGATTTATGTCGAATTCAATGTTCACATCTCAAATGCTTATTGAATTAAAATCTTGGATACTTTCTAGAAATTTTCATTCTTTTGCTCCAAGCGGACATTTGATATCATGAAAACTTATAATCTGGACTAGCAAACACGAGTGCTGGTGCTTCTAAAGGCAAGACGTCTAAGCAAGATGAGACTCCCAAGAACAAGCCGAAGAGCCCTAGTACCGATAAACAGGCAAAGAATAAAGCCGACGAGCAATCTAGGGTCAAGAAGATTCAAAGGAAAAAATGACCAAGCTGCAGAGAAAAGAAGCCGAATAGTAGAAACGCCAAGGAAAAGCCCAACTAATGAACAGAAAAGGGGCAAAACTTCGAAGCAAGGTGAGGAGCAGAAAAAATCGAAGACAAATAGCCCAACAACACCCGAAGAGAAAAATCTGTTAAGGACGAGACTGGTAGCCAAAGCTCCTGTTGTTTTCCCCAAATCTTTTTCCTACAAGTTCTTAATTTGTCCCAACAAAAAAATTAGTTCTTAAACCAAATTGTATTCCTCAGCAAGGAACTTCACCCCGGAGAATCTCCCAAGACAAGAACCCGAAGAACAAGAGTGATGCAAGGTCTGGGATTGGTTGCACCCTCGGGTTCAACATTCGACAAGAACGGACTCGTATAGCCAAGTTTCTCATAACAAGTTGCCCATGGAATGGAATGGTACTATTTCAGTCAATTTGTGAAATATAATGGCTTAGATGGCATAGCTATCGACTGTAAACCAACAAAATTTAATTCATCCATAGCCATGGGCAACGATTGGGAGTATGCCTTCCAAAGACTCGTACCTAACGGAATGCAGATATTGAAATCCGAATTTCATACATATTCAAAAGGCTGCATGTTTTCAGCTAAATGCTCTTATTGTTTCTAAACTCCTCCCAATTATTGGTCTTGCTCAATGCCACTTTTTCTCTCCATGTTATCGACTGAAGGAACCAAAGATGAAAAAGTTTAGAGAGGCATTGTCCGTGCAAAAGTTACAGATGATGGGCTGCTTTTAGGGACACCCGTAAGAATGAACAGTGTTCGAAGTTCCCTTTGCCCTTAAAGGACCTTCCATTTTGCTGTGTAAGAGAAGCAAATGTCCCATCTATTTACCATCTTTTGGTTTCCATTTCTTTCCTTAACTTTGTGCCTAACCTTTTTGTTTCACGAGAAGAGGGGAGAGTGTTTTCCGAGTACGTTTTTTAAACTGTCGTTTTCTGATGTTGATCCCCTCACAGCCTTGCGTTTTGGCATTGGAATATGGGAAGGACGTCCCCAGAGCTTTGCCAGCTATCACTCGGATCTTCACTTGTTTTTCTTTCTATGTAGAGTTACTTTCATTAATAGCTCAAACAATGCATTCTCTTGTTCGTAGTTTACTGCTTGTATTTAAATCTTTGAGAGTTATAAATATCATGACAAATAATTTGAGTTGGCACAATCTGAATTATTATTTAAATGTATGAGGGTGAGAGGGATGATAATCTCAAGGAAAAATGAAAAAGTAGAGAATTTATCTTAGGAGAGAATAAAATTTCCTTTCTATTTTTTATGGCGGTTTATATATTTATCTTAGCATTAGTGTCAGGTTCAGGGTAATGATAATTATTTGTAAGCTGACATGATTGATAGATTTAGCCGTCATATAGTGGATTTTGTTGATGATGGAATTGATTAGATTAAGGACTATAATATTATGGAGGAAATAAAATTATGAAGGCTTCTCAAGACTCTTAAATCTTAATAGGCGAAAGATTAAACATAAAAATATTGTTTACGAAAGATATCCGGAAGAGATACAAGAATAATAACATTTTTTTTATTAAATTTAATTACATATACATAGATGTTAATTATTTCTGCTTAAATGACTTGTTCTATTGCTTCATAATTACTTGCATAGGAGACTCAAATCGTTGTTGGCTTAGTGTCGGTAGAAATAATGTAATGCGGAAGAAAGCAAAGGCACGAGACACAAGTAGAGTTGGGTCCGAAAACATTAGGGACGTAAAAATCTAACCTCACTTGCAAAATTGACTATAATAGACTTGAGTCAAAATTGTTTGTGACCCGAGATGGTGATGATCCGAAACCAATTCGAGTCTGAACTGGTGTTGACCCGAACCTGAGTTGGACCAAAACATTTACGACCTGCACCGACCTGAGAACGACTTGAACCCAAACTCGACCTGATAATGTGACAACCAAACTCGACCTGATATGAACCCGAACCCGAGAATAAACTGGTAATTAACCAATATTACTCGATATGTTATCAACTTAACCTGTTATAAACATGATTGTAACTGACTGAACCTGTAATTAATCCAACATATTATTAAACTGAACTGGTATTTACCTTACTTGTAAGTTATCATTGATAAAGTTAGAAAATTATAATTTTCTAATATTACAATGTGACATAATACTTCTTCACAATTTATAATGCATAATTAACTATGATAATTGAATTAATGTATTTACTTTTTATACTTATAAATTGTAGACTATAAATATATTCAAAAAAAATTATTAAATTAATGAGTTGGTATTAATAATAAGTTTAAAATAAATTAGTAATTATCATCATTATATTACTAAATTGACTTTATATATTTATTATGATCATAATATTAAAAAAATAATTATGGCTATTAAATTAATTTTATTAAATGATTCATGAATCATTTTTATGTAATAATTAATAACTTAAATATAATTTATCTTAAATTTTTAATTTATATATTAAATATTATTCTAGTTATTGATAATATTAGAATATGAGAATAAAAATTTAATAACTTTATAAATATTGAAACTAAAAAAATGTATAAATGTACAAATTAAATTTATTACAATTCAATACACCAAAATTACAATTAAATGAAGTAAATAAAATTACGTTGAAATTTAAGCTCTCAGATCATATAACAAAAGTTTTACAAGAGTGAAAATCCGACTTTGCTACCAGTAATTTTTGTTTATCTCAAAATATATAAATATTGCCAACATGATTAAATGGTGGGCATTTTTTTAGCTTTAAAAGCCAAAATAACACCAACATAATTTAACCATGGGTAACTAATTAGATAAGAATTTACAATAGTTCAATTCTACCAGACCAATAACAACAATTTACAAGGCAACAATCAACTAACAAGCAACAATTCATCATTTAGACCAAAACTAATCAACATTCAAACGATTTCTAATCAGTATTCAGACAAATTCAAATCAACATTCAGATCAAGTCCAATAAGCATTTATACCAATCCAATCAATGGTAAAGCCAAGGGGAATACGATGACCAACAATGCCAAACATTTTCAACTTTACTAAACCTACAGAAGTTAAAACAATGGTAAAACATTCATTTATATGCTTGTTGAAATTTATGAAAATTAATCAAAAAGCACTAGCATGCTTGCTTAAATTCATGAAAATTAATGAAAAAAACAATAAATGTAAAAGCAGTAGCACCCTACAATAAATCATTTCAAGTATTAATGAAAATTATGAAATAAACACAATAAAGAAATTACCATAAAAATGAATAATCAAGAAAGAATTATTCACAATTCATTCAAATGTTCTTGTTGTAAATATAAAAGTAGTAGCACCCTACAAAAGAAAAAAAATTATTTAATAAACAATTT